CTGTAAGAATGATAAAGATAGGAAATAGAAATTTAAGATATATTTCAATGAATAACATCGAATGAAACAAAAGTCTATTTGCACTCAGATGTAAAGAATAACTTTTGTACCAAACAAAAGCACTTTGAATATCTCTGCATAATTATGGTCCTTCAAAAAACTTCAAAAAAATGCATAAAAAAGATAAAATGCAGTAATACAAAGTGATTTGAGGGTATAAGAAAAATTTACCATTTTCTCTTTAGTTACAATATAATGGCATTTAAATGATACCAAATTCTGATAAACAATGCAAACAATGCATGAAAGCAAAATGTATTCCATAAAGCATAAGGGAGTTTACAGATACAATCTGCGCATGGGCAGATAAAGGTCATTTGTACCAAAATGATAAAACCCACAGACATGAATACTGGATATGCGCTCATGAAAGTTATGTAACATTATTCATTTATGCACCAACGGTACATTCTATGATACGCAGGAGGAAGTATTATTTTCAAGAGGGCAAACAAAAGCTATTCATGAAGCACATCTCGGACTTTGGCAGTTATTATTCTAAGATGCTCAAAGTGGAACTTCCCCATGTGTAAAACATCTGTGGATATTTGGGGTCATTTGTACCATGGGCTATCTGTAAACTCCCTTATTGCAGCTAATACCCTGTAACAAGAACAAAAAATTCAATAAAGACAAATGTCAATATGCTGTATATCTAATGATGATATGAACATATTTGTTATGAAAGCAATGTAATGGTTTCTGATTCCAAGAAATCCCTTATTTGACTTGACAGGTTGATAGATTCTGATAAATTATCAATGACATAAAATGAAGGCTCAAAGAGAGGGGGAGATGGGATAGAGAGAGAGAGAGAGAGAGAGAGTAACGGAGAGAGAGGGAGAGAGGGGGAGGGGGCAGAAAGTTTGATGATATCTAGAATGCACTTTAGATCAAAACAGAAGATTATGAAATATATAAATTGGGAGATAAAATAAAAATATAGATGTAATTAGATTGAAAATGTGGTAACTCTCATATAACAAGAACATACATGAAATACAGATTGCAAAAGTACAATAAAATATCATTGAAGTAAAAAAAAAAAAAAAAAAGTGCAACGAAGAGTCATGAAGAGTCATGTTAATGAATGCACAGAAGCGGATTGAAGATAGAATGAATGTGCTTTGGGAAGAAAAATCTGTTTTTGTAAGGCATCTACGTGGAAGAAGAGGAGGAGAAATGGGAATAGAAATTAGCAGAGAGTTCAACAAATACATACATGTAGACAACAAGAGAAGATAGGAGGAGAATTGTATTTGTTCAAGCCTCACCACCCACAATGCTATATATAGCCTGCGTGGGCATGAAACTCTTTTTTTTATTTTGAGCTAATGACATTTCAAGTGAAATACAAGCCTAACATCATCATAGACGTTTCCATATGAGATGAAGGCAGAGATCTCCCACTGTGACCGACTCAGAACCAAGTCAATTGTGACCGAGTTTGATATATGACATATTGATATGGGATAGGGCAGGGCTACATCCACACTAACCTTTTTAGAAGGGGGTCATAATCGACCTTTTTACAGTCTGTATGTACTGACCCTATGTAAAGTTTCAAAATTGGGGGGGGGGGGGCAGGCCTAGATGTTGGGTGCCCATGCGTCCCAGGTGCCTGCATATTGTTGTAAACTCATAAAATATAAAATATTCGACTCATTCAAATCAAAATCTATTTCCAGGAAGCACTTTTTTTCATCAGAGAATGTACATAAATGAGAGAGATCTGGTAAAATATCAGATCAATTTACCCCGTGAGAGAAACTGAACCACACAAATGATTTGAAGTGCCAGGTTGGAATAACTTATTAAGTGTATTCCTCTTCTCTTATTGATGCAATAACCTGTGACATCTCATGATGTTCAATTCCCTCTTGGTCAAACATTTTTTGCTATGTCCAGCAACTACCAAAGTGATGGACAAGCAAGTTCTCTGCAGATTCAGATTAATTTTGAAGCCGGCACAAAATTTATGAAGCTCCCGTCCATGAATAGACGAGGGCGGGCGGGCGGTCGAGATTGATTCTCATTGGGACCAGGATTGTCACGAATGTCTTGATGCTAAGCAACGTGGTGCGCTACGGAATTGAATTACTGCTTGGTCAAGGAACAGAGTGGGACAGCCGAGACAGAGAGAGAGAGAGAGACAGACAGACAGACAGAAGACTTCAGAAAAGAAAGAACAGATTAAATAGACTTTTCAACAATTGGAAGGGAGATTGAGAAGGTGTAAGAGAGAAAGAGATCGTGGGAAAGACAGAGAGTAAGAAAGATAATGAATACAGATCAGTAGAGAAAGAGTGGGGAGAATCAGAGAGAGGGAGGGAGAGAGAGAGAGAGAGAAAGACAGAAATTCATTAAGTTGAAAAGGAAAGGGTGACAGAGAGACAAAGAGAAAGAGGGAAAGTATGATCAAACTAAATTGAGAGAGAGAAAGAAAGAGAGATAGAGAGAGGAGGGTTATTGTAAAAGTGAAAAAGCTCTGAAAAGCAAAGCTAAAATGTTATCTGTTTTAAAGGAAATTGTTTGATTATTGTCTCTCTATAGTTTTATGTACCAAATACATGTAGGAGTCTGATCTGATACATGCTATACCAGTCAAACAAAGACACCTTCAATATACGTACACTGTACACTGTATGTTTTAACATACATTCTGTTACTTTAATAGTAATTCTTACAAAGCAAAGTAAACCATGACTACGATTGTAGAGACATAATTCTAATTCTAATTCTATACAAGATTTTTAAGTCAGTCATTGACATATTCTAACCTTCCTTAGTTCAGTTTTACGTGGGCAGCAGCACAATTGTCATGCCAACAACGGTCGGCACCTAAAAAAACTCAAATTGAATTTCCGACCACCGCAGATCACTATAAAAACCCAACATTCAAATGTGATGAACCAAACAAACAGACCCAAAGAGGACAAAAATGCAAATAGCCGGCGCACCTCCTTAATGAAAGACACAAGCTGCATTTCGGCGAAGCAATGTACGCCTCACCATCCCCAGGGCGGTTTAAGCTGTTGTTCGTTTGCAGGAGAACACCATACATATGCATATGGGCGCAAACCCTTGCATCAACCAAAAGCCAAAAGTTTTCCAGTTGAAGAAACAGCCACAGGCTAATGTTTCTCGATCAGACCAAGGATGAAGGAAGAAGGATGAAAAAGAGAGAGAGATAAGTCAGTCTCCCACTCTGTCTCCCTACACATCTTTTTGTAGGTGTATATACTGACAACTAACAAAAGGAGTGTGTTGCTAATTTTTGTTCTAAGATGTGCATGATTTACATAAGAGAAATCCTCTCTCATTAAAAATCTGATGTATTCTTGATACTGAAAATGGAAAAGGAAGATGAATTAATCTCACAGCTTCAAAAGACATCAAATCAACTTGAAATTCATTGACACAGTTGTCACTGGAATACAAGTCTAATGATAAACAAATTATACAATGATTTAAATGTAAGGCAAAAACATATTGTTGCCTTGAAAATTTTACAGAAGAGGCAGCCGTTTTTGACAAAACAATGACTTGATCTCTGTTGATTGACATTAGAGCATATATGACATTTAAATAGCAAGGATTCCAAGCTACAAGATTAAAATCATTTTCAATAGTTTTAGTACCATCCTCTTATCATCCACAGTTATCTATGTGGTTGATTTTACCTGACAGGGGACCTGCAGCTTTAAGTCCAACCTGAAGGATTCAGGTATCAAAGGAAAAGCGTATATCAAGAGAAATCCTTAAGATATTCCAATCAATGAACAAATTTAATGATTTTTTTTTTCAAATATGAAGGCCCATATAGAAATTTACCTGTCCCGATAGTTGCATTTATATTTTAGAACGGTTTTGAATACAGGCTACCTGCAAGTCAAGAAATTTGATGCTTTAATTTAAGAATTTTGGTGATTAATTCAAACCTTATCTCTCTCCCTATCCCTAAACCTAACCTAAAATCAAATTGCAAACTTATTCCTAACCCTATATCTTTCATAAAATAAAGCTTGGAGAAATTGTCACTTGAGCAAATGTCAGGTCACCCTCTATCTATCCACAGCTCCTCTCTGATGAGCTAGCTAACCTTCATGTAAAGGTCTCTTATAACAGTTTTCCAGGAAATCAACTTAGAATTCCTCTGCATGCCTCAAATCACCTTCATCGACTGGAATAAAAGGTGTAATTACATGCATTGACTTCCTGTCAGCGTGTCTTATTCTTCTTCTTTCAGCATTAGAAAACTAGTTCTTTTTTAAGAGTGACAAAATGATCCATTATACAGTCAAAGATTTGCATGAATGTATTGAAATGTGATGCTATTTTATGGTTTGACTATTTCAACAAGTTTTAAAAGGTTTCAAATGACTTTTATTTCACTAATATTATTGAGTTTTCAGAGGTACTGTACCTGTCTGAAAATATATTATGAAGAAGGTTCAGTAGACATTTCTTAAAGGCATTGTTTAACAATGCCAAATCTGAGATGCATGGCCCAACGTGTTATCAGCGTCTGCGATAAGGTCTAATATTGAAGCCGTAAAAAAATTTCACTTCAAAATGATCATGAAGTGCTCCAAAGAAGTAAAGGTCTTTGAGTGACCGATTTTACAATACTCATTTTCCCTGATAGACTGTAGTGTTATATAAACCGTTGGGAAAACGTTTTTTGAAATTTCAAATTCCAATTATAAATATCTTGGTAATTAGACGGGCGATCGGATTGTAAACGTCACAAGATTCCTGACTGACCTAAAGGTTTATGATTATGATTGCAGTCTGAGCTAAATCCAGGATTTTGTTTAGAATCTGAGACAAAGTTACCCAATCTCTTTAATATGGAAGAAAGTTGACTCCTGTTCTCTTGGCAATATTAAAGATACATGTTCAACATTGGTCCACTTATGAGGAAGCCATATTTTCAA